CTGTGTAGCTTTCCGTGATTTGTGCGCAAAAGTGTTCAATCGAATACTGTGCAGATCTGTGCAGTCCGACGTCACTGCCCTGAGCGTTGGAAGGGTCGAAAACACATGAACATACTCACAGGGTATATACTAAACCATAACGCACAAAATAATATGATGGCGATAATAATTTGCATTTTGCGACAGTAGACGCATATCAACTGTCTATATAATCTAGTACGTTTCAATTAATTATTTTTATTTCGCATACCTAAGTATCATAGCATATATTTTATTTTCTTAGTTGTTCGTGGAATTCTACCACTGCCTAGCTGTGTACTGTGTTTGCTCTTTACTCGACCGCCTTAAGTTGATTTGTCGTATTACCCGAGAAATTACAAGTTAATTAATATGAAGATAATACAACAATAATATAACCTCGATCAATATTTTTTTTTTTTTTTTTTTATAATGACAATGAAACGGTCCTTGGACCGCAGTGTTGTACCGGTAGTGCATGTGCATTGTGCAGTGCGCACGTTGATAATAGTATTATATTATTATACAATCCATGCGTAGTATGAGTATCATATAGTAGTGCAGTGTGGTGCAGACATATATGTATGATATTATCATATATTATAACTTAACATAACAGGTATACCACCCCTATACCGCACGCGCAACGGCCGGTCCTCGGAGATGAGCCTTTTCCCGGCGCGTCAATATTGTTGTTATATCGCTCCAGCAGAGACAAGTGGTGTCCTTTAGATGACTTTCTCGAGTGACAAGCGTACGTTTTCGACAAACACATTTGCTCGATATACGCCATAATACCCGTATTTAATAATATTATATATTTGAACACCGACCGACCGTGTACCGCCTTTGCGGTACCTACGTAAACATAATATTTATAATTTATATTATATATAGGTAGCGCCCTCAATGCCCCGAGCATGGTACGCCGACGCAAGCTCGACATCATTCGTGTAGCTTATATGATATTAAAATATAATATACCTACTTAAAAGTGAAAAGTAAAAATATATAATGGCGTTATTACGCCGTGTACGTCGACTCGGGAAGGACTGTGACCTGTCCCGCCCGCCGCCCGTCATTAAAATAATAACTCGCAAGTTTTCACTCTTTTCCGCCCTGTTGTCCTATCAGTTATTTTCTCTCTGTTCTTTTTTCGTCCCGTCTCGCCGCCGAGTCGCTTCTCCGTCGCCCCGCCGCCGTCGCGCGTCACGCTCGGAAAACTCGAGTTGCGTTCTAAAATGACAATCATTTTTGCGAAAGGGTTTATCATTAAGCGCGGTACACGACAACGGCGTTATTATAATAGCTATATGTACCTATATGGCAGTAATAATCGTATAATATTTAGTGTAACGGTAATAGTCGCAGGGTTAAACGGACGGTACACGTCGGTGTATATACGTTTTTAGCGCGCACCCCTCGTCGGGGGCAGCACGCGAACGATTTCACAAGACGGCGGTGACGTTGTAAACGTTCCTCTGTACGCACGACAAAAGGAAATTCCAAAGTGGGGAGAAAACGAGGGAACCGTTTCGAGTCGATCATTATGATATTATTTAATGCTCGCGTAAGCCGCCGTGTTGTAAGTGCACATTCCAAATCCAATTACTGCTATTATAATATTATCGTCCTCCGAACTGTCTTATTCTTTTAGTATTTCATTTGTGATACTCGAATATTAGCGTGTGTTTTTTTTCTCGACAAACGGGGTTATTATTAATAATTATTATTGCCATTGCTGTGGTTTAAAATTGTTTTGAACTCTGTTGCTGCTGTTGTAAGCCGTCGAAGGTAAGCCGGCAGTCGTAACTATACGTTTTTTTGGTGGAAATTCCATATGTGGAATAGGTCGTTGTGTGTGACCTATATGGGACCGATGGCATCATACATATTGTTATGCTTATATTGTTTTCGAGTCCTGGAGATACTCTTCAAAACTGATGGCATCCTTATTGTTTGGATGCGATAAGCACACCGCCACCATTCTTCTTCAAGTTGTTTAACTTTTAATGCCATACATTATAAATGATTCTACACATTTTTCCATAACAGTTTCAATATTTGTCTTAACATAATAATCATATTTTTATATTTTGGATAATATTTGAGCGATTGCTCGAGCGTTTGTGGGTCGACAAAATGTCATTGGTAATATAATTTACAACATGTCATACATACGGACCACAACAGCCTATTAATATATGTCCAGCTTGTAATGTAGGCAACAAAGTTTCTCTAGGCATCCCTCGTTTATTTTAGTCGATCAATTGCACTATCCTCTTTTCAAATATTAAATTGTATTTTTATATCAAAGTCCTGCTGATAGATTTTATTGGTTAGTCACCAGTTTACAACCATTACATCACGACTAATAATAATTAGGTAGGTCAATTTCATTTGTAGGTCGTCACATATTGGACCATGACATATTATTAACATCATCGCACTGTCTGGAGGTTTTGTTTGCGAACGGTTATCGATATTAATAATAATAGGTGCACTAGCTATAGTGTTCGTTGTTCGAAATGTATTTTGCATTTAGTTTTATTTGAATTCCAGACATTTGTGCTGATTGTTCTGACATAAGGTAAATTTTTAAATTGTACAATAAAACCGTTCATTTTCGCTCTTTATTTCTCCAGTATATTTCAAATACCTTGAATTTTATTTTTAAATTAATTGTGTGGAACTGTTTTTTTTTTACAATTCCATTAAGAAAAATTGTTGTTTTTTTTATTAAACAATAGTGATAGGTATATTATATATATACATATTTATATACCTACTAAAGAGATTATTTTTTAAACACCTACTTCACTTAATGAATTTACCTTTAAATAATTGCAAAATCGCATTCTATGATTTATATTTAGTATTTACTCTCGATAATATATTACGTGATTTTAAAAACCCTGTTATTGATGAAATTCAACTATAAATGTTTGAACACCTATTTGATTTTTATACGTATCTTCGTGGTTATATGGTTACCCGATAAAACGGTTTCCAATAATTTATTAATTCACATCGAGTGATAAAACGTACACCGGTTAAACCGCAAATGGTCAATAACGGTTTGATGTTAATGGCCTCCGTCAACTATCGTCACGTGATTTGAGAAAAAAAAAGTCGCTTTACTCTGCAAAAACTTGGAAATACTTGTAATTGAATTACACGCTGTCTATAGAGCTCGCTAGAAATGTGTAAAGACTGATTAAAGGCTTGTGTTTAATTTAGTGGTACTACACCATGTACAGTTCACACGATGACATCTCTAAAAGTTTTTTTTTCAAATTACACCATTGTCCATCGATATTCCGATGGTATTTTCGATTAGTTACCAAAATAATCTCATTCATCTTGATCCATTTGTTTCTGATTCGATTTCACATTGAAACCATTATCTACTGACTACTACTGTGTAAACTTTTTGCTGTTGTGTATCGAAAAAGAGACTATAACATTTACTGACACTTGAAACGCAAACGTTTTGTATCGTGTGATTTTAATCTCGTCTTGTCGTCTGTAATCGAAGAAAAATCAATTTTATTTGAACAAATTATCAGATACGGCTGTGTCAACGGTCCTCGGGGATAGTGTCTAATATTGTAGTTGGTGAATTAAAAATAAAAATCAATATTTATTTAAGTTTTAAAGAAAATAATATCAGGTTTAAATACCATACTATACGGTTTGGATTTTTTGAATACCAAATATATATTGAAAACGTTTTGTAGGACCTGCGTATTGTCTGTCAGGTTAGCCTATTTATTAATAATCATATTAATATTTTACACTAGAAGTTGATTTTTTATCATTAATAATACAGTTACTCAAACTTAATGATAAATTGATAACTGTACGGTCGCTTCTGTTATGTTACTATTATTATGTCATTCGTTTCAGTTAATTTTTTTTTAAAAAAATCCTACATAGCTTAATTGATGCTGAATTATCATTGGCTATAAAAGATAATGTTCACAAGAAAAATAATAACAATTTTAATTCGTTTTACCATGACTCGCTTTCATGTCACTATATTCTACAGTTGCCAACAGGGATTTAAAGTTGTCTATTTAAATTTTACTTTTAACTATGCCAATCGATTGAAACACAGACAACATGCTGGCTTTATTGCAATTCATTTGTACAGGTGACTTATATAAAAATATGAAAATCAAATTCATAAGAAAGTTTAACGAATTTGACAGTCAAAATCACGCGTATGTTTACAACACTTGAGGTCAACTGCAGAAAAAGTAAACCAACACTCCGCCGAGTTATTGATCTTACCGTATTTTAACCGTTCAATGATTACTGTGTGTGTACGCATGCTAAGAAACGTACTTTCGCGGTGATACGAAAAATCATTAACAAGACCTGACACACTACAAATGTATACAACACATAACACCGAACATCGTATTGTACCTACCCGTTTTGTACCTTACCTAACCCGAGAAAAATAAATAACTTTATTTGGAGTCGCTTTTATTGTATACGCGGCTTAATGGATAATTTATTATTTTGCCGAAAGAATTAAAAAAAAGAATTCATGAATAATAGTGCAATATAAAACAAAGTGGCACTTATAAACTCAACGAGGAAAATTATTTCTTAAAACTACTATATCATAATATTATATTATTATTATTACTATTATTATTATGTACACGTATAGTTTCAAATACTCCTTTAAAAGTTTAGCATAAAAAATGTTTCTTAGTTAATGTTTCTTAGTATGTTTCTTATTCGTTTTTTTTTTTTAGAAACATTATTTTATATTGTGCAAGTAACATCAGAATATATATCAAGATGAGATTTTTAACACGATATTCTACATAAATTATTTATTTACTCAATGTTAATCTCAATTTTTATTTGGAAGTTGCATTTGTGCGTTGTGTGTCACTGTTTACATTTATTTGTCCTCAGTCTTGTACCTACCGTTTGTATTAATGTATTTATATATTCTATAGATGACTGGTGACGAATACAACGACTTGGAAAAAGACGAAGTTAATATAATTTCTGGAGCCCTCGAACTTCATCGCAAAAAAGTTGGCGATGTAATGACCAAGTTGGAGGACGTGTACATGCTGTCATACGATACGGTGTTGGACTTTGAAACCGTCTCAGAAATCATGAAATCTGGTATGTAAAGATTTTATTAGAAAAATAATTTTGCATATAATGTAAATTATTTAGAATTGTTCCAACCTTATATATTAGCAAAAAAGTTATCACTAGAATTACTAATTCAACTTAGCCGAACCAAATAAGTATATTGTAATAAAATAAATATTATATACATTATAAAATATTTGGTTGCATAATTAAATTAAATTCAAAATATTTGTTTGATAAAAAATAAATAAAATATGCAAAGTTCCTCTGAATAGTGGTGTATTAAAACAAATCAATTTCGTAGTAAATGATAAGATTTTTTTATTGAATAAAATGGCATAATAATAGAGTAATTGAAAGAAAATAAAAAACAATTTTTAGTGAAAATTGTATACACATAGTTACCATTTAATAAGTAATTATATTAAAGAATAATTTTCAATTTTTTATTTATTAAATATTCACTTCTAAGCAATAATTATTATTAGTTTTAGCATAATAATAATATGTGGCCTTATAAGATGCACAACGTAATATGTATGCAGTTAAATGTTAGGTGTAATCGGAATACTGAAACATTCAGTAAATACATTTATTAAATAAGTTTAAAATTATAATAAAAAACCGTAGCTGTATTGTTTATGCTTAAATTATGATCAAAATGTTTGTAAGGCAGTTTAGTCGTGCGTATAATATGACCATCATCTGTCTTCCGAATAGGTAAAACAAAAATGTACGGCAACTGTATACCTTTTCGTGCGTGCTATTTTAAAATGTTTGATATAAAAACACGTCGGCAATATTAATTCCTTATGTCTAAATGAAAAATTGCTTAAAAGTGCAGGTCAAACATTTTGATTTCAGAAGAATGTTTGTTTAATAATAATATATAGTCTTAATAACAATAATATTATATATTATATTGTCAAACATAAATAATAATATTACTGTATCTGTTTGAATGAATGACATAACTGCCACAGCAGACGTTCGTCATAAAAAAAAATAAAAATGAAAACCATAGGAATCTACAAAATATATTTAAATCGATTTTTGGCAATCGTGTAAATGCGTATACAGTGCGCCACGTGGTTTGCATATTATATTATGATCTATATTTATATTCTTCCCGAGCCGTGATGGTTGCTATTCTGCAGAACGCAGGTGCACGGCATTTGAAAGATTTTTCGACTTTATACTATCGCATAAATATTTCTAGTATCAATGGTCCCGTTGTATTGAGTGGGCAGCGGATAACGAGTAAAAAGTTTTAAAAAAAAAATTAAAATTAAAATTAAATCCGTTTTGAGGAGTCCGTGGGCACCAGGCCAACGGGGAACCGCCGTCACCGCCCAAGTCCCAACTATAAATATAACTCCGTCGCCGCCGTACCGGCGACGCAGAGCATGTAACTCATGCGAGATTTTTATGGTATTTTTTTTTTCCAATTGACCGAAGGGTTGTGCTCGATTACAAAATTGTATTTACATTACACAAAACATAGTAATAATACCTACTGCATGTAAAATATCAGATCAAACGTGATTCTTATCAAATCACATTTTAGAAACGACCTTTAGGGAATATGGTTCCAGGGGTATCTTACGATCTTTCAGCTCACGTTCTCACTCGCTGTCACTCACACGCGTACACACACAATAAATGTATTCTCATTTTTCGGCGGCCTTTATTAAGTAATGCCATTTTACACCATAAATGTCATATGTTTAATTCGTGGCCGTTCGCAGATAACAATTGATTGCTTTTGAAAAGTTTTTCTTTTTTTGTCTAAATTGTGTTGTTTTTATTTTTATCAGGATACTCGAGGATACCCGTGTACGAGGGCAACCGTCAAAATATTGTCACCATGTTGTACATCAAGGACTTGGCGCTGGTCGATCCCGACGACAACACATTGCTTAAAACGCTGTGCCAATTCTACCAGAATCCGTGTTATTTCGTATTTGAAGACACCACACTCGACGTACTGTTCAAGCAGTTCAAAGAAGGTAAATAATTTATGACCCTGTGCCGCAGCAGTAGTTAAGGTCGTGCAAAATGGTTGGGAAGATGGGTGAACCGGTTTAATATTTAGGATATTAGAGCATTGCTAAATTACCAATTACTAATTACCCTAGTTATATTAATTTCAACCAAATTATAACAAAACAAATTGTTAAGTACTTACGAATTAGTATAGCATTCTAAATGTGCCTACGTATTCAAAAATATATATTATTTTTTTTTGACGCTATACGACTAATGGTTACCGTTTAAATGACGCTATTAGGTCTTAGAAAATAACAGATGAAAATGATTATTATTGTTTATTACAAATAAACGAAATATTTTTATAAAATTAAAAAATTAATAGATATTTCAAGAAGTACGTATTATTGCCGGGATTTTTAAAAATAATCACTTCGTAGATATTCCAACTGAGACGTACGTTGAGTTAATTTATAATTACCACTTATAACACTCACAACTGTCTCTTATCGTAATGGTTTTGGCAAACTTATCAAGATTTATAAAGTTCATTTAGATTAGTTCCATATAATAAATACTTTTTTTAAATTTGTGTCCAATTAAAATACATCGGACACTTGTATACATGCTAAAATAAAATAAAGACACTATAAAACAGAATATAACTGAATTCATACTAATATGGTTCATAAAAATAGTTTATAGTAGGAAACTAAATATTATATACGTAGGACCTATTTTAAAAAAATGTCTTTTACTGGTCAATGACGTCAATACTATGACAAAATTATAACACTTTGAACACTCAGGTGCGAAATTTCAATAATAATTTTAATATCAACCTCACCCCACACCCTCATTCATTAATCATAAACTGGGCATTCAATATATTGTATGTCCACCATAAACTATAGTGATTTTTGTCCGTTGCTAATTAAACATTTTGAATTCTGATTTATGCATTTCGATAAGAACCATGCTACGCATAATAGTTAGAAGTATATTTCATAATTCCTCTTATATGGAGTATCAACTTTTAATTCATAAATTGCTCAAATGACTCTGGTCGGTCTATTTAATACTAAAGACCAACTCGCAACTGGCCATCGACAACAATGACCGGACAATAACATAAATTAACATGTGGTAACATTGATGATACTATCAGATACCTAATATTTTATTTGTATTATAAGTGTTTCTTATGTACCTATGTTTTTTATTTTTATTTAAGTAATTTAACTACATTTGTACTGAATATTATAAATATTATTTCTACAAATTTTATCCTTAAATTACCAACGATGGGCAATGGTCTATCGACTTCAAATGTTTTGAGCGCTCTTGCATATGTATAAAAAAGTTGTTCTAAGCTCAATTAATAAACTCCCTATCAGACTACACCCATCGTCTACCTGCGGTCGAAAATATCATGCTTACTATTGTTTTGAATAATATTTTTAAACTATTTTTGTCCTAAGATAATCCTATAGCTGCTTAAACTTTTTGGCTTTTTAAATACCCACATTTATGAGGTACCTATATATACCTAAATTTAACATTCCGACACTTGAATGCCTACTGCCCATGTACAGTACTTAAACTCTGTGCAATGTGAAAACTTAAATGCAAACTCTATAGTAATAACAATAATAAACCCAAAACCCTTCAACATTCAAAGAGCATACATCTGAAAGTTTTTTGTTTTTTTTTTTATCAAATGCTATTCTATTTTATAAATTGTCATTAAATATTAAACTTTTCTGAGTTGTATGGTACTACAAAAAGAAAAATCTTGCTCGTTTCGCGTATATACATATATATTATATTGTATATATTCGTTTGAACGTATTTTTTTTATCATATTGAAAATAATAATTTTACTTTTGACAGTGATGTATTTAGGCTTATGAAAATTCTATCTCGACTTATTTGCTGAAATTCCCACATCGTCAATGTTTACTAAGAATCAATATTAATAAAATGTCAAACTAACTGTAATATATTTTAACGTCTAAAACTTTTAAATCTTTTGTTCTAAATGACATATTAATATTTTCTGGATGTAAACGGATCATAAATATTGAATTAAAATCTTGACATTTTATTGAACTACGTATAAAAGTGACGAATAAATTATTTTATTTTATTTTTAAAATTGAATAAATTTAAAACAATGATTTTCTGTTTTTGTTTTACCAAACTTGTAGCTTCTGGGAACCATACATTTTATAAAAATAATAATAATAAAAATAATAAAAATATAAATAACAAACACGATTACAATGGAGAAGTCAATAAGTTTTCTTTCGCCTACTTTAGGGATTTTAAGACTAAATATGGCAGCTTAGAAAAATGATTAATGTTTGAAATAATATTCACATCGTTTATTTGAGACAATTTATGTAACAGTATCTTTGTTTTTTCTATATTTTGTATAAAACAGGTATTAAAGGACATATGGCATTTGTTCATCGTGTGAATAATGAAGGCGAAGGTGATCCGTTCTATGAAACCGTTGGCATAATAACACTGGAAGATGTAATTGAAGAATTGATTCAGGCTGAGATTATGGATGAAACTGATGTTTACAGTGAGTAGCGTGTCAAGTACAATGTACTCACTGTACTTAGTACATACCTATAAAATATTATACTAACTCTAGTTTCTTATTCTTATTATTTTCAGCCGATAACCGTTCGAAACAACGTCGACAACAACGTTCACTTAGAGCTCAAGACTTTACTGCGTTTGCCGAGCGCAATGAAAATCAACGTATCCATATTTCTCCACAACTTACTTTGGCCACATTCCAATTTTTGTCGTCGAGTGCGTATATAATATAAACTTATATGCATACAGAATATGCGCGTTTTCCCAGTGTCTCACCTTATGGTTGGTCACAGACAATCATTTTTTTCCCAATTAGTGTTTTTTAAGTATGACATTTGTTTACTCAAAATAAAAACATTTAAATATTTGCTTCGTGTTCCTTAAAACTTTGAGATAGCAAATTTTAAAAGATATTTGTTATGTTAATACTTTTTGAATTTCTGATTTCCTTTGAAATTAAAATAGTTAAGTAAGAGGTGGTTGTATATTATATTGATGAGCTCATATTATGTAAAGTGAGACCCTCTGTATAGTAAATGTATATGTAAATATTATCAAGCTGATTTACAAATATATGTACATGAACGCTTTTTGATTTCATGATTTTGCTCAAATAGGTGTCGAAGCTTTCAAAACAGATGTTGTATCAGAAACTATTTTAATGCGATTGCTCAAACAGGACGTGATATTCCACATAAAAATGAAAGATAAAGAAAGATTTAAGTCTGATCCGGCTAGTATCATTTACCAGCAGGGCAAACCAGTCGATTACTTTGTGCTCATATTGGAAGGACGTGTCGAAGTTACCGTCGGTCGTGAAAATCTTGTATTCGAAAGCGGGCCATTCACTTACTTTGGATCACAAGCCTTACACCAGAACATCGGAATCGGTGAGTTTGATTAAAGAAAAGGGTTCATTAAGCATACTCTTTCTAATTTCATTTATTTAAGTTATTCATTAATACAAGTTCTGTTTTTAATTTTTAACCATACTCAAAATATATATTTTTTAATATTACTACATTGTCAAACAGTTAGATTTTTATAATTAATTTAAATTAAAAGCATACTATGGAATGTTTTTTTCTTAGTAAGAACCTCCCGTCTTACTACGATTATTAAACCACTATTTTTTTATTTAATATCAATCATAACACTTTATCAAAATTTGAATGAGTAGTCTCGAACTTGGTATATTTGAGATTTGACAGTTGATCAATTTCATTGATATGTTAAATATAACCAATTAAGTTTAGAATTTGCTTTAAAATGTATCTGACGAGTAATTTAGTACTGACTAAATAGTAAGCAATATTATTAATTGACATATATTTTATATTTAATTAACCATATAAGGTATACACAATATAATTTATAAAGTCGTAATCAATCTAAAACCATTCTATTCGAATAGAACAATGTAGCTTAAGCATTTGAAAATGTATGATCTTTAATTTTACTGGAAAAATACAAAATCTTTTAAATGGATACAACTATAGGATAAAGTTGGGATGAGTATGCTTGATGAATCGCAATCGTACTGTGTATACGTAAAAACGTCCGCTGGCCATCTTCGATATCCTACTTTAGTCATTATTATATTACCAAATGTATTTCAGGCGAGTCACCACCATCCGGAGCCAACCCTACAATGGCCAATTCGACTGTGAACAACATGGGCAGTATACAGTCGGTCAACATCGATGCCATGTTGCGTTACACTTTCGTGCCCGATTACTCGGTGCGTGCTGTTACTGAGGTGATGTACTTACGCGTGAAACGTTCGTTCTACATGGCAGCAAAACGAGCCACGCTCATGGAACGTTCTAAGAAAATGTCAAACGCCGGTGAATTCGATGAAGAAGTAGACAAGGTGATTAATTCGATATCTTGCACATTTCTTAATATAACACATCACAGCCCACAGGCGTACATTTAGTCTAAAACTTGAGAGTACAACTATGTATTATTTACTCCTAGGTAGCTCATGCCCTTCAGACCAACTACCCAAAGTCCCAATCAAAACTTTATTTTTTTTATCCCTGTATTATCGTTTAATATGAATTAAAATATTTGATTTTTAATTGTTTTATTAACTATGTTGAACAGATTTATTTATTTAAATACAATAGGGAAACTTGTCGCTAAAATGTTTTCTATTAACAAAATCAAAATCACAGATGTAATCCAGTGAATATGACAAAGATAATGCGAGAATCTTCTCAGTTCACAATGTTGAACCAGTCACCATTTCGTGAATACTTGAACCGTATTTTAGTGTTATATTGATTTGGTTTTTTTAATCCAGTAGCAGTTAGTAGCAGTTATTGTAACAATTACTTACCTACTAAGATTTCACATAAATTATTTTTATAGGCTTTTTGTAATTTTTTTTTTTTGTATTTTAAAATAAGTTTCTCTCCCCCCTCCAATTAAATTACTTGAAATAGTTCAAAACCTATATATTTTTTACTTGAATAAGACAATTTGACAATGTTGCTTAATGCACTGCAAATTTGATTTCATAAAATTGTTTTACAATTATCAATTAATAAATCGTTGTTTTATTTTTTATTAAAGCTGTTCCATACTTATGGAGACGAAGATCGGAAGAGTATCCAAGGTTCTCCAGACGTCACTAGAAATGCATCTCAGGTAAAGCGCAGCGATTTAATATTAAGTCCATCCACACAAAGAGTTCACTACTTTAAATATTACACAGAAAAAATTATTAAAATACAGTTTCTGTAATTTTAATACTTAATACTAAATGTGTAAACGCATTTCAGCCCAACATCTCAGATTTCGCACTTCGTATTTAGGTGGATTTGTTCGCTGCCACCAGACCGCGAACACTTATACTGCTAGAAACTAGTCTGTAAACCAAAACATTATATTTTCCTTTCCTAATCCTTTGATGGTGAGTGGGAGACTGAAATGAAAAAAAAGTAAAATAATTTACTATGATATATGATTTTGCCGTCACTATACGAAAAGCACGCTTTGAAATAATATTCCACGTTGATGATATTATCGAGTTCATTTTCAATTGGCTTCCATCGTTTCAATTTTGTTCATTCATACAATATAACTAGCTCATAATATAGAGTGGTTACGACTGATTTGTTTTTAAAATTACTCTAGTGTAACACTAAATTATATGTATTGATGAGTATTAAACTATGTTTTTACCCGCAAGGATGATGGGTAGAGGCTTTTTTTAGAGGAAAGGGAATCTAACTGGCTGAAGCCCCCTCCATTTTCCGTATAATTATGTGTTTTTTTTATATTTATTAAATTTGAATTGTAGTAAACTAGTAATTAAAGGCGTATTCGTGTATATCAACGAATTAGCTTCAGGCCTACTGCAAACAAAGAAAATAGAACAGTTGACAGAAGTTTAAGTTGTACAACAATCAAATACTTCATCTAAACGTATACAATTATAAGACTGGACAAAATAAAAATAAAATTGTATTTGCTCATACTATTCTGGTGATAAAAAGTTATATGATTCAATCAGTAAAAACTAAGAAAGCTCCTAATTTTTTTTTTTAACTTAATGTTGTTGAGTTGTGACAACTGTGAGTAATTAATAATTTCCAAGCCAGCCTCCGCCCTCCAACTCCCAATTTAAAAATTCTGTGTATGCCACTGATAGTGAGTATACAAATACTGAAGTATGTACACATACATACATACATACTTACATACATACATACATACATTATACATACATACATACATACATACATACATACATACATACATACATACATACATACATACAGACATAGTAGAAACATACATATTACCTACATACATATTACATACATACATATTACCTACATACCTATTACATACATACATACCTATTACTTACATACATACATATTATATAGATACTTGACAATGATATTTTCTTCACAGATAAATCACCGTAAAAGTTCGCTAGTACCCCTCAAGTCCGAAGGGCGTTCGAGTAATACGAAAAGAAACAGCAACGAGCTGTTTATATGAGGTAGTAGGAGTGAGCGAGTGTCATCAAATAATGCCTAAAGTTGTTCACTAACTGATTTACGATCTTAACCTTGATTTGATTACCAGTTGATTTCTAACATTAACTGACAGTAATTTAACAACCAATACAACTTGGTTCAATACATTACATGTTTATTTGAAGTTACTTTGTAATACATAAACAATGCATAAATATTAATAATAATATGCTTTTTAACATTTGTTTGCAAATTGTTCTTTAAGGATTTATTTGTATCGATACATATACATCAAATCCTTGTTGGACTACCTATTTTAGATTTTGAATTTGTACGCACACTTTCTACATTTACAAATGAAACATTGTTAACACCCATCAAACACAACACTCATATTCTTTGTGAAATTATTTAAAATACACAACAGTACTGATTCATACGCAAACTGTGTTTGTATAATTGTATTATGTCATAAAACAATTATATAACATATATCATATTTATATATATATGTAATAATTTAATAGTTGAATATTGTAAAACAAATTACCAATTGGTTTGTTTTTGAATCTTTCTAAAATGTTATCCAAATACATATGGCATCTTACAACAATTGTTGAGATATATAATTTAATTTGCTTCAATTTAATACTTTAAAAATAGGTAGTTTAAATGCACATGTGTTAAGTGTGTTTTTAGTTGTTTTACTTTAATATAACATATCATGTTAAAGTACATGATTAACCTTGAAACTCAACAGTTTTGTAATTAATGTATCGTTGATTTTTAAAATTAAATTAAATAATATTTCTTATTACTTCTTATACATTATACCTACCATACACGCATTACACAAGTACACAATAATATATTTACAAATATTATATTATACAACACATGCATCATTATTGTACTTTGAGCTTTAAAATATATAATATATTAAGTGTTAATTTTTAATTACATTTTTTTTATACATAATTCAAATACATGCTATAATATTTTCTGATCATTATCTAATAAAATGTATATGACTTGCAGACAGCAGTACAGCCTTCTACAATTTCGGCCAACGCAGCATCTCTTAACAACGGAGAACCTACTCAACCTGTAGCTGTAGCATTCTCACGAACACCTCAGGGTACCTCCGACGCATCGGCTGAAGAAAAAATCACACTTTTGGGCACTAACACATTGTCTGCTGCTACGAAATCGGACACTACAGATCCATCATCTTAGGTCTATCGATAATGATATTAATTGTTAGTCTGTTCTTTTATAATCGTCATGTTTTTTTTCTGCTTTACATTAGATTTAATAGCGTTTATTTAAGGAAGTACATTACACGATTGATTTTTGTATAATCAATGATTACACATAAGCACGTAGCAGATATTATTTAAGTTTTTATTTTTTTCTATTGTTATGTGTTATGTATAATTTTTGACTTAAGTAGTTCTAGTCCAGCATTATTGTGTTCAGTAAGTGTCCAAAAAATCCCATCAGAGTCTTTCTGAACAATACGCGAGTCAATCAATATGTGTACATTTTAATTTATTTACGCTCTCTTTATGCGCTCATATTGGACAAACAATTATTAAACTGCCATAGCGGCTGCACACTGAGGACTCGACTCCCATTTTATCAATCTAGTGACTAACTACTTCAACCAGCTTTTATTTTATTGTACTTTTTTTTACGATTTATAATATAATTGCTTTATTTATTTCATATTATTATTTATAAATATATACATAATACACACCCGTTTATATATTATATATTATATTACATATATAATTAAGCTTTGTGTCCCGGTGACGCGGAAATCCGTTTTGTATATATGCAAAAGCGAATCTCCAAGGCTTTTCGTGTCTCTTAAATTTTCAACCGATTTAAGACCCCTCAGAGTGATCTCGGAGGCATGTGAGTTCTCGTATTTTTTGATATTCAGTTGTATTAAGAAATCGATGAATCCATGAAAAATCGGTACTGTTCTATCTTTCTTATTTTTTCAATGAAATGAATAATATTTTCCTTCTATAACTGAATAAACAAAACAAAAAACAATTTTATTTAATTGAAATATAACATTATATCTTAAATTAACAATTTCCTCTCACTAAACGACATCACTATTAAATCGTTTAAACCTTTAAATATGTTCTTCAACTTCGTTATTAATTTTTTTATTTGTTTGAGTATTACATATTGTTATGTATAGATATTCAACAAGTTTTTAATTGACTTTAAAATTAACACAGTTACGTGGCGTTTTATAATTCTTAGGATTGCGCTCAAATTAAAGTCTAAGTAATTATAGGTCATAAAAATAATTGGAATAATGTTTGGTGACTCGTTACAGCATATTTAGCTTCAGAGTTAACTAGTCTTTTTTAAGCTTACTGTTCATGTTATATTATGATAATATAATATATAGTGATGTTCGTTACATAAAAAATTTTTAAAAAAGCAGAATAGTTGGAACAAAATAATTAGTTAATATGGAAGGGGAGAAGCATAATGTTGAGAGTTTATAAACATATATTTATATATAATAATAATTATTGATAATATTATAATTATTAATGTTTGTATACTAAATTTTCGTAATATTTATCTGTTGCGTGTAAGTAATTATATAATATTAGATACCTTATGATGTTATTAAGCTGAATAATAATCTTAGAGCTATATTCGACAGTAATCGACTGATGGTTATCGACATTTGTCCAACAATACTTACCTACACAAGAGTTCAATCATAATATCAATTATTGTGGTTAGGCGCAATGCACACGACTGGCATAATGACATCATTAAAATATAATATATAATAATATAGTACAATCTACTCGTATCGGTACAAACGTTCACCTTGTATACATTTCAACATGGTGGTCAATTATTGTCAAACATATTATTATCATATTTTTTTTTCGTCCACCTATAACATTGAACGAATCATAATGTCTCAAAAGTAGCCAATGCAAAATTAAAAACACCATCAAACCACCTGCGTCTGCGCGTCTTTTGCTACAACAAAATATTATCTATCATGATTCATGATATAATATAAATTAAACAATTAGAATAATTTTCTAACGGATTGTTCGCAAATAAGAATGGTGCGAATCTATGACGATTTCAGGGCTCCTCTGTACCCACACAACTCACGTTTTATGTGAGCTTGTTCAGTGAAAACAAAAATTTCTGTTGTACACACACACACGCAAATTATGGCCTGCCAATAATATAATTTTCCTTCTGTTGACATTTTTGTCCATTTCTATAGTTGTACACATTTTTATTATTTATAGGTACTTGTATAATATCATTTATACATTTCAGATTGAACGACGTTGTGCGTGAAATTGCATTATACATTTTAATATTATTATTATTTTACTGACATCAATAATTATTATAATTTTGCGTTGTCATCATTTATGATCAAAATAATAATATTACATTTTTATTATTATTATTATTATTATTATTATTATGATTATTATTACTATTATTATTTGTGTGTAAGTATTCGTTGTTAAATTGTTTATTTTACCGAAAAGTATATTCATTTATAATTTCTAGACATAAAACATTTTCATGTAAACCGCCATTATTATTTTAATATTTACTATAATTGTAGGTGCCTTGTACCTATCTTTATTGTGCCTATATACAATAATATTATTATATTTTAATGTCGAAGATATTATTGTTGAGCATACATTTATATTATATGTTTAGTTTATAGTTTTTTAACTATCTAATGTCATGTTATAAGAACATATTGTTTTTATTTAATTTATTTATACTATTTATATCATTATTATGTTTTTAGAATAGTTTTTCGCCATACTTTATCTGCTAATAATGTGTACAGTGTTTGTGCGATAAAATTATGGGAGAAATATGGATATTTCTAGTATCGCGTTCAGTCTGTTAAAAAAAACTATATTGCTGTTGGGTTTAGATTAGGCATTATTATAATATAATATATAAACTAATTTTAAGGTTAATAAAAAATTTAATTAAAATATATTATAAAAATAATCGTTTTTCAGCCGAGTGCTAGTTGTAATATTATCAGTGATTGTCGAGTAAAAAATGTTTAGTTGACATTGCCGATTCACAATAGTTGTATAGACTAATCTAGTAATAATTTTAATATTGAACACTTAGGCTTCTATTTAATGAAGGGTCATAATAAATCAAACATGCCATTACAGCTAATGTTTAACAGACAACATATATATTATATATTATTTGTAATTGATTTAGTTTAAACATTTAAAAATTATATTAATACTGGCTGTGCTGCTCTCAATGTTCAGATATACGTTTAATTTTAAATTATCTATAAAATCAATTGTTTGGTGAAATTAAATTATGTTTAATGGTTTCAGTTAAGTATTGTTTGGGCACAGCCAGTTCCAATTCTGGGGGCCTATATATTTATATGTATACAAGTAGCTTTAATATAATGACATATAACATTTATACACAAGCATGGAGTTAAATCAAATTAGAGCAATCTTAATAGTACTTAAAATTATTATAGTATCCGTACAATTATATATTATTTTTAATATGTTAAAGATGATACTAATAACCTTTTTTTAAAAATAATATTATTATAATTATTAAAAACCTATTCTGTTGTCCAGTACATGTAATATTATGTTATACATTTATTATTATAATTATAGATAAATAGAAAATTGACTTTAATGTTTATTTGTGGTATTTATTTTTCCTATTTATTAGTTATTTGTTTCAGAGGTTTTTAACTTAAGCTTATTTTTAAAAAAATACTCAATTATGTGTTGATCAAAAATACAATTTGTAGTTATACACTAGGTATACTTTAGTATACTATATAGTGACTAGTAAGTCAGTGAGCGATATCTGTATCTATCTAATAATTTACTGCATTATTATACCAATATCACAACCTTTTTTTATAGCCTTTAGTCTTACATTTTAATGGCTGAGGGTTATATTACCTTAAAACATAGTCAAAATATTATATTTACTAGCTATGTACCTGATACTCAACACTTCCCACTTATTAGTAGGGAATGGATTTTATTGTAAATACATATTTTTATTGGAATAAAATATTTTAAATTTGATAAAAAATGTGTACGATTTAGATCATTCTAATTGAAATAAACCCATATTTATTTTACATATTTTGGTATAAATATATTATATTTTAACATATTTGTAAATCAGTTCATATTTTGTCCTTATTTTAGTAATATTTTATTTTTTTATTAATTTTTAACGACTAAACATTATCTGTATCATCTAAATTAACTAGTAATTTTTGATGACCACCAAATATTATATGTAATCTAAATGGCATTTACCTTCTTATTTCCGGCACTATGCGTGCCACTGTACAGATTAGAACTAGTGCAGTTATTGTCAATATTAGCTATGCGGAACAATATAAATATAAAATAATTGAAAAAATTCTGGACTTCAAACTATACAATCATCAGAGATGTTTTAATAGGTTAAAATCAACAAGGAACTCTGGACATTGAATTCACTCTTTCTGATAAAGTAAATATGAATTACGCGCCTATAAAATCTGTTTACGTAGAATAGTCTTTTAGTTAATACAAAAGTATTTTCCGAACAAACCGTCACAATTTTTCATTTGCAAACCTTCAACAATGTTGTTTCTCATTGCTTTGTTCCGGAATAATGCTCACACTTCTATAAACCTACATCATTTGTATTACTTTTATTCAGAAAATATTTTTTTTTTTTTTTGGAACTTTCAATAGTAATTCATTTTTTCTATATTTACATATTTTGATTTTTTTATCACAATAAAGTCCGTTCCCTACTTATTAGTTATTACATCATATTAGCTACATATTTATTATGTCTTATAGATGATCAACATAGTAAATCTACATACACAATTCTTATATTGTATTTAAAGTTAATATTTGAGCAAATTTATAGCGGCAAATATAAAATTGCCCAAGTGAAGTTTGTTTTCAAATATTCATGATATTTTAGATACATTTTGGATTTGGTCCATTTGGAAAAAATAATTATTTAAGTTCTTGTAACTCATATTGAAATTAAAATATGAAAACTAAACTCTGCTCACTCATAGTAAATATATTCTTTACCAAAAATTTGATAGTACTCATATACATAAACTAGAAAGAATCCACCACTTAGACTTGCCATCTTACATTTATTGTGTAAGACAGACCCAATACATACAGGTGTAGCATTTTCTTAAGACACATTTATGTATATATATATACATATAATTTTGTACCATCTATTATATTTAATACAATATTACATTTGTAACTTTGTTAGCTAAAAATAAGAAATACAATCAATATCGTGTGGTCGATTCTTGTACAGCTTTGTGAGTAATATACAATTTTAACAACCCTAGTATATACTATTTAATCTCAATAGTTAAGCCAGGAGTAACTGGATAGGTATTATGCAATTATAATCAGTTTAGTCACTAAATACTTTTAAACAGGGCATGAGCAGTACTTGATTTGGGATTCAAAGAGAGGAACTGAGTACCTCACCTAAATTTTCAGAAATAATTACTCTAATATCAGGATATAAAATGATAAGTAGCCACAGTATATGACAACCTTGTAACTAAGAAGGCATGAAAGATAAAACTATAAAAGACAAGAAGAAAATGTTATAAATGAAAAATATTCTCATTAATGAAGTTTGTTAAATGAAAATAAATAAAAAATGTTTGTCCACAACAAATTAATGTATTTTATTAAGTCTGTTGAAATGCATCTCCTGCAATGTTAGCTTAGTCCTTACAATATGTACTTACATTTAAGAAAGAAAATATAGACATTATATATGTATACAGGGTAATTAAAAATGTATGTTACGGAAATTTTATCATATAAATATTCAAAATAGTAAAAAATCTATAATTCAAACGTTTTTTTTTTGATTTATAAACACAATTTTATAATTGTTAACAATATTTAAGGGGGGTTTGGTGGTCAACTTTAAAAATTGAAATGGGAAATTATACTTTTTTGCAAACATAATGGGAAGACATTTTTCAAAAAAAAATTTAGTGCATGGACAACATTAATTAATGCAAAACTTTATGCTTGATAGCTATTTAAAAAAGTATAGGTTTCCATTGGAATTTTTACAGTTGACCCCCCAAAACCCTCTTAAAATATTGTAAACAATTATAAAATTATGAAATCATAAAAGATGTTTCTAAATCAAAAAATTTTGCATTACATATTTTTCACTAATAAAATGTTTATATGATAAAATGGCTGTAACATACATTTTTAAACAAATTTTCCTCAATAATTTCCCGAAAAAAAAAACATTTAAAGTAAGTGTTAGAAGTGTGTAAAAAATGTGTTAAAATGTTTGTTGGTTTATAATAATATTATGTCTGAGAGTGTATTAAAGACGTTGATGCCAAATCCTACCATTGTTATATTAGGAAATTAAGTAGCTAGGGAAGCACACATTTTTGTTTCATTTGAGTGCTTCACTATTTCTATTATATGTCAAACACTGATCATAAGTACAAACTTTAAAGCTACAACTTTAGAGAAACACAAATAATTTTACTTATAGGTACATAATTTTGCTTTCTAGTTTCTACTAAACGGTTTGTAATTTATTGTTCATGTATGAAAATGAAACCATTGTTCAATTTCGCCTTTCTTTTCCCACTCGACGCGGTGCTCTTAAAAAATGTGCGTATTACCTATTTAACAGACACATTATAGTTTTCCATTAATAAAAATTGACACCAGAAGTTCCGAATTTTTCACGCCACCCCCAAATGTACAGAATGTGCTACATTGGCAACGCGTTTAATGTATATTATGAAGTATTATATTATATATACCTGCATATATATTTTATATCACATATTTTAAAACGATATAGTATTGGAAACGTTGAATTTTCTTATCTTGTTTTTGATTTCTATACT